TCCCTTACTTTCGACTTGGTGCATGGCGAGTCACCATTGATCGTGGGCCAAGATGTACGGAAATACTGCAATACATTCAACCTTGCCCACCAACGCTACATCGAAATGAAACGGCCAACCGATACCTCAAATTGTATCCTTTTCACATACCTTGTCCCCGGTGATGAAAGACTGCGTCTATACATCGGACCACACCCCTTGGTGAGAGTAACAACACTCCTCGCGACAACTCACTCTTCGGTCAAACGAACGCCACTCACCTTCTCCAAAAAGATACATCGTTACACACACGCACCAGCGGATGAGATCAAGGAGATATTAGCCGATGCCGGTGTACTCGATGAATCGCTTGAGGCTGCAATCGAGAAGGTTGAGACAGCATGCAAAATCTGCACCAGCAGCGGCCGGCCTACGTCGTCAAAGAAGGTATCACTGACCCATGTCAACGAAGCGTTCAATGAGGAGCTTCAAATCGACTTCACCTTTTGCGATATACGCAGTAGCAAGCGAACCCTCTTGCACATGACGGACAGCGGCACAGGATATTCCGAGATGTTCATCACTAACGACAGATCCATGGATTCTATAAAACACAACATTGAGACAGGATGGATATATCGCCATGGTGCACCGACAGCAATCACTGCCGACGACGAGTATAATCGCCGCCCCCTACGAACGTACCTCGACATCCACGGAATATCTTTTCGCCCCAAACCAGCACGACGTCATAATAAGATCGGTATCGTTGAGCGGAAAAACGGTACTGTAAAAGCAATCATCGCCAGGCTTGACAAAGAAGTGAGCGATGCAAGCCCAGCGACAATAGTCGCCCGAGCAGTGTTCTTGTCGAACATGTTCTCTGGCAACAAACTCCTCAGTTCCTACGAACTCGTTCGTGGCTACAGCCCGTCGATACTCGGGATCCCATCCAACAAAGTCACAGACGAACTTCTCCGAGCGCACAAAGAGCAAGTCGCCACCAGAGCTCTCCAGCGCCTGCTAAAATCCCGCACGCCACAGTGCCCCACACCACCAATGTTCTCCCCTGGCGACAAGGTGTGGATCTTCTACCGGTCGACAAAACAAAATGAGAAAAATGAATGGATCTCCGCGACCGTCGTCGAGGCTCAGCAGGATTGCCTCATGGTACGACGATCCAAACATGGAAGACCGATGCGAGCTGCGTACGAGGACGTCCGCGTGGCACCGCGCGGTCAGCTCACTGCAGAGCTTATGTCTTGCTCCGTCGAATCCACGCTCGAGGAACGACCAACAACTCCTGACAGCACCGACGGAAACGCCTCCCCAAATCCCTTGCACTTACGATTGCGCTTGCCAGGCACAGCTACGGCAGTCAACACTGATACTCCCGACCCCACAGCACCACAGCTCCCAACTCTCTTGGCAACGCAGAGTACCCTCGCAGCGACTGATAACACCAGTCATCAAAAGAAGGGGGCCAGAGACGATGTTGGAACATACGCACAGACAGCATTAAAGCACACACAGGATATCAGTACCGAATTACAGTCCAACCGCAAACACATTATGTCCGAAATTTATGATGTGATTGGCCCGAAACAAGTCACTGCCAGTAAGCTCGCTTTCGCCCCCCCATGGATTTTGGAGGAAGCATTCAAAAATGAACACGACTCGAACTGGGTCGATGCGTACACCACCGTCAACGACCACGACATCCCTCGTAATTCAAACGTGATCACCTCTCACGTGGTCTACAAAGTCAAGACACAGGAGGATGGCTCCCACGACATGAAGGCCCGTATCGTCCCCCACGGGAATCGGGACGATGAGAAAGACGACATACGCAAGGACTCCTCCACAGCCCAGCTCAACGTAATCCGCCTTCTTCTCTCGCTCGTCACATTCCTCGGCTTCCGCCTTGCAACCGCTGACATAAAGGGGGCTTATCTACAAAGCGGCCCAATCAAGAGGGACATTTTTGTCCGCCCGCCACGCGAGTGGAGAGGCCCGCGGATGACTCTATGGAAGCTTCTCAAACTCCCGTACGGTATCGTCGAAGCCGGCCGCCAATGGCAGAAGACGGTCGAAGAGTGGATGTTGAAGGATGCGGGATTTGAACGAGCCCATGGACTGAGCCAGTTATTCACGCAGCGCGATCCCACTGGTCGCATCATCCTCCTCGTCGCAAAAGTCACCGATGATTTCCTACTCGGTGGTTCCGTTGCGGCAATGAACTGCTTCCTGGCTAAGCTCCGCAAACGATTTATCGTCGGCAAGGTAGTGGTGGACAGCCGTTTTCACTTTAACGGTTGCGAGATCGAACAAGATAGCGAAGGGAACGTCAAGATGTCGATGATCCGCTACGTGGAACGCATCAAAGCGATTGCTCTTTCACGCACAAGACGCAAACAAATCAACGAGCGCGCGACAGAGTCTGAAATTAAGCAGTTCCGAAGTGTCGCATGCACACTACTGTATCTGGGAAGCGGGGTTCTTCCTCAGGCATCTTTTGCCACGTCTACACTGCAACAGATGATATCACATCTCAGTGTTGATAGCCTCATTACAGCCAATGAGATGGTAAAAGAGCTTCTCGCTCTAAAACCATGGGTCACATTCCGCCACCCGAAGAACATCCAGGAAGTCTTCGTGTGCACATTTTCGGATGCTTCGTTCAACCAGAACTCGGCCAAGGACTACGGTCAGTCAGGTGTCATCACTGGCCTACGCATCGTTACAGACCAAGCTCCCGATATCTTCCACGCGATTGACTGGACGAGTCACAAGCAGAGAAGAGTGAGTTACTCTTCGTATGGTGCAGAGATATTGGCATGTGCCGATGGGGATGACCGTGGATTCTACATCAAAACTGCCCTTAACTCAATGTTTGCAGCCTCCAACACTGGCAATGAGCTGCTGGTCGACTCGCGCTGCCTGTACGACACCATTACGACGCTTCACGAGGGCAACGATTATCGACTCCGACAAACCGTTCAACGCATTCGCAACAGCTTCGAAGCTGGTGAACTCAACCGTATGAGATGGATCCCAGGTCCGCAGAACATAGCCGACGCCCTAACCAAGCGAAACCCATCAACCTATGCACTGCTCAATCGCACTCTCACTGAAGGAACCCTCGCGGTCGATGTGTCATCTGGATATGTATTAGATTCCGAAACCTGGAAGTAAAGCCAACCTACGCTTGGCCATCGAGTCGCCTCCATTCTCGTGCCAACTACACGAAGGCGACTGGGGGGAGTGTGACAAGTGTGAAGGCCACCGATTACACGTCGGACACAATGCATAGATTTCTGCGAGCATCGATTGCCACGGACACGGATAACGAACGGACACGGATAACGAACGGGCACGGTACCGCAAAACAATGCAAAGCAGAAGAGGGACGAAGTCAGCGACTTTGAAGCATCGCGCAGGAGCTACACTCAGCGCCTTAGCATTAAGCGACCATTAGCTTTTAGTTCAGCAAGCAAGTACTGTCAGTAACGGTTAGAGATGTGAGCAACACTAGCGGGTAGCGAGCAACGCGGTGACACTACATAAGCAAGCAGACTGTAGGTAGCTAAGCAAAAGGGGCATCGAAGTACAGAGAGAGAGACGGGACGACTGCGTCGCCCGGAGCACAGCGTGCTCATTAACGACTTCGTAGAGTAGGGATTCCACCAGCATCTTGTAGCCCCCTCCCCTCTAACATGGGAGACGCGGCTGCGATAGTTATGGGCCCAGGTGGAAATTCCACTCCGAACAACCGCATCCTCATAGCTCCGCTACATTGCGCAAAGCCATCGGGAGTAAAGCGCGCACGGCGTAACACTGATCACCTCCATGATTAAATCTTCGCGTTCACTCTCACTAATACTTGAAATCAAGACAGAGCTGAATGGATATGCGTCATCACTAATACTCCTATCGTGGATGATATTACGATATTACGACATTACGACAGGTTGCCATTCTGTGAATCGCTTTGACTTCGCCCTGGTGTTAGTTTACGACACTTCGGGTGCATCTTATATATTTCTCCGTATTCATAGTTCTGTCTCTTTTTTTTGGTATTTCACTGCCATTTATCTAGCGGGGGCTCCTCTCTGTTATCTAGTGCCGGGTGCCCACTAACTACCGTTTTCCGAATCTGCACTCATATTAGGGACTGAGCTAGAGTCAAAGCCTGGAAAATGCCCCAGGCTTCGACATCAAATACATTTCCTATCTACAACTGGCTCTGCCTTTCCGAATCCGGCTTTTGTTTCTACTTCGCTTTCCTTTCTTGACCTCTTGTTACCCAACCGTTATTTTTGGGAGAAGTTTATATAAAAACACATTTTAAGATCAAAACCTGTTCTGGGCGTTATATGTGCATGTACACAAGATTATCATTGCGAATGCATGTGGTTCGAAAACACTCTGTAAACGCCTTTCTATTTTAGTGAGTCTGCAGCACTTTCATTAGTATATCTTTTCGGCTTGCGATGACCGACTGCCTTCTGAAGCTGCAACCCCGAATTACTACATCCAATACGATGATGCATTTATATACACAGCCAGAACTTGCATCATGTCGCGACTATCACACTGTATGGACACTGCTGCATAACGTACGAAGATCATAGCGTTGAGAATGGCCTTCACAGCGCCCGCACTATTTTGACCATCACTGGGGCGGAAATGTATTTACTCCAGAGCCGCCCTTGTGTCCTCCAATAAAAGCACCCTTTCTGAAGTCTCAGTGCCTTGTTTCTTCAAATTCCTCTCATGAGAGTTTCTGCTCCCGGAAGGAAGAGAATCTGAATCACGGCGACAAAGTTAGAGTCTTCATCTATGATGAGATACGTGAACATGGTTTATTCGGTGGACGCTACCGGAATGAGAAGGCGGCCATACAAAAGGCAAAATCGCATAGAAAGCCGAGAATAATATCTGGGATGTAAAATCTCGAAATTTCAGCGAGTGCGACACGGAAGAAAGTCTGTGGGGGAGAGGATAAGCTACTGAGCTTCACGTAATAAACCTATACACTACTGACCCGTACGGTGCTCACGTAGTGGGCCTTTATTCTATTTGGTCTCCAATTGAGCCGGGTTTTGAAGCTCCCCTCACTTTTGCTCTTGGTCTTTCCGCACTGTCTGCTTCTTAGCAGCGATGCGTGGACCCCCTCTAGACTTCCCCGGAAAGAATTTGTCACCTTTGATCGTATATGAAAGCCTGTTTCGTTGCACAAATTCTGCAAGCCTAAGGCTTGCATCTGGAGTAAACTGAAATCTAATGTGATCCCTAAACTGGTCGTTGGATAAGATAATTGCGTTCTCTTCGTGAGCGAGGAATAGGGCATTCAAATCGTCATCTTCTTTCTCTGGTACCACACTGAAGTAGACATTCTTCAGCCGCTTTTCGGCTTCGCTTCTAAAGTCCTTAATATCTTTTTCCCACAAGGCGGGAACTGCCTTCATTCCGTATTGCTCGTAATCTCGCAGCACATTCACGAGAAGATGCCACTGCGGCTTTTCGCTCCCATAGTACTTGGCTACGTTACGGCCGTCAATAACCACATCCACTCTGTCCTGTGGCATATTCGATTTTGCCAAGATTTTTTGTCTCCAGCGGGGACGAAAAATATCTTCGAGATCCGCTCTAGACAATCTGCTCTCCGAAGAGACTGGCTTGTGCTTGTTTCGAAAGCTTGTTCTTCGCTTTGCTAGTGACGAATCGCTCTCCTGTGAATAGTCAGAAATGCGTGCATGTTTGGAAGATGGTGGACGACTTGATTCTGCAGGTGCGGACAAATAGGCAGGTGTGCTTGGTTTCGGTCGCTTCACGTCTGATTTTCGCCTAATCTTCACCGATGCCATGTACAGACTCTGAGACTTGCTGTCTTTGTTAATTCTATCGTGGTGCTTGTCTGCTGATTCTGTTGCGGTTGAGGAATATCGGGTCGAAACTTTTTGATCTGTCATTTTCGCACTCAACGCAGTGGTGGTTTGCATTTTTTCCATGTTGGCCCACTGCCAAGCCAATTCCCGAACTGCGTCGTCGTATGCCATCATAACAACCAGGCGCGACGTCTCATCAATGAAGCCCTCATCCAATCCTGCGTGGACGAGCTTTCTAACCACTATAGCTGCCAGCTCATCACCCATTCTCTTGTGCACTGCCTTTTGGGGATCAGAAACGTTCTTACGTAGATAGTGGAAGACAGCGTGTTCTATCTTTCTGCAGAGCTTGCGACTGGGCTTGAAACTCGGATCTTGTCCTGATTGCTTGTAGGCATCCTTAAGTCGACGAAAGGAGCGTTTCACCTTGGTCTCTGCCACATTGCGCAGCTGATTTATTTCGTTCAGGTAATAACTTACGGGCAAGTGTTCCTGGTCAGAATCTGCTGCAGAATTTGGATCTGGAGTAGGAGCCGCATCTCCAGCGGTCTGGGGTGCGTTTCGCAGAGCAACGCATTCACATGAGCAACGATGACCTAATTTTTCCGCAGCTGAGGTTTGGCACCGAGGTATAGCTCTGCTGATAGCTCGTGAGTACAATCTTCTCACATTTTGGGAGGCTCGCTTGCACCTGAAAACCACTGCTACGGCTTCTGCTGCAGACTCGCTCGTGTATACGCTGACTCCGAATTCCCTTAAGACCTTTTGTAGCTTAGCGCCAAAACGAGACCTCAGACGGGTTGAGACACACCCCGAAACTGGAAGAACCGCTTCAGCTAGGAACTCGGAGAACAAGCTCGCCAAATCATATCGTCGATGACGTAAGGCGGAAGAATCACCGTCGTGATGGTTTATGCATTGGTCGAGGTGGTTGAGGGCCAAAGAAACGGAAGATACATCGTTATGTTGGCGAAAATCTTGGAACAACTTCAACAAACGACTGGGCGACAAGAGGTATACTGTAGAATAGCATTTGTGCTTCGAACAAATGAGTTTTCTTTGCACAGAAAACTTTCCCGTTTCGCGTAATGGATTCATCACTTTCTTGTGTGCGTAGCTCTGCACTTGCTGAACATGTTCGCGTTGGTATCTCCTTCGTGAGAGGACCCTCAGAGCGATGCGATTCTTGCCATTTGCGAGCTTGATTGCCTTGCGGAATGACAAGTCATCAAGTACGCGGTGGTAACCATCTTCTCCAACACAGAATACGAGATAAGGCGAGTGAGTCGGATCCAAGAGCGATGGGATATTGGCATGGAAATTAAGTTGGTCGATAAGTGCCTCGCAAAGTGCTTGAAAGCTTGGCAAGCAGACAGTTGAGGAGCTTGGTTGCAGAAAGATGCGGTATGTGGAGTCACCGTAGTAGACTTTCACGTACAAGCTCGACATATTGCAATGGCAATGGTATCATCGGCAGGACCGAGAGCCCGCGGCTATGTATGTAAATGAACAGGATGCGAGAGAGGTAAACAGTTGGTGCGAGATGAGTGTGCTTCGACAGTTGTTTGGAGTCAGAAGTCAATGAGACCTCCCGTTTTTTCCTCCGCTGCAGTTGTTTCTGAGCTAAAGCAGTGAAGCACACGGATAAAAGACTGCGTTCATGAGCAAGGGAGGAAGAAAATGAATTAGTCAAAAGCTGCGACACAGCACACAGCACGAGCGCGTTTTGCACAATCTGCTTTTGTGCAAGCTGTGCATTTGTACAAGCCGTTTTTGTAAACGCCGCTTTTGTAAAAGCCGCACGGTTTATGATTCGCGTGACCTGAGTGGGCACTGTAGATATTGTTGTACCGCCACATATGGCGCTTCCAAGACTGCCTCATATCACAACCACGGCCCAACATTCCCGACACGGAGAAAATTGTTTCTGCCATGAGTAGAGGCCTGGGGAGGCTGGAATTTGGTCCGAAGCTTGCTCGGAAGACACGGCAAGGGGGTGGTTGGAATCAGATTGGTGAATACAAGCACCCGAGTACTAAAGCCTGTATCATGAGAGCGTGTGACTTGCGACAGAAGAGGACTTTGCATGGAGGATTCTACCACATATGGGACAAGGCACTTCATTGGGGCTTCGCTCTGCCCATTTTGGAAAATAATGCCTTTTGCGAAATCTCACGGACGAGCAAAGCAGTAGGGCCATATTATGAGCATGAAGCAACTTTTTGCACGCATGCTGCGTGCTCTTTTATCACCTGAGATGCTCATGCATCATCATTGACCTACAGAACCCCATCAAAGGATTGTATTCTTGTTGCGAAACCAAAGACCTTGTGGACAAGAATGCTTGTTCGGAACTGAGGTGCAGTTTACCCTCCAGTAGACGTAAACTTCTTTGCTACGAAAGCCAACAATACAAGTGCCATCTAGTTCTCGTCGATTGTCATCTCCATCTTGAAGAGCAGTCGGCGAGCGCACATTGTTCTGCAACTGACCTTGAGTTTTTGCTAAATCCACTCTGTCTTGCTCATCTTGACTTGCATCATGGAAACCATCCAGATGACATGCTTCTAACTCTGCAGTATTCTAGTTCCGTTTTTGAAACACATTAAACTTGCTGCCACCAAAAATTCCGCACTACGTAGATCATTGGGATAGCTCAACGTGCAAAATGGAGCAGGAAAGCACATTCAACATAGTTTCGAGATTCGTGATGTATTAGGGAGTGGGTGTCCAAGGTAATGTCTTTATTCCACATCGCCAACTGCACGGATGAGATGCCTCGATTCCTGGCCAATAAAAAACTGATTGCCTGCATGTTTATTTATTTGTGATTTACATTGCTGTATTCCCAGGCCTCGGGGTGATGTTGTCAACAACAGGACATGTGTCGTGCAACAAGAATCCCCTGGCGCATACCTTCGGTATGTTCGTGTTCGGTATGCGCCAGGGGATTCTTGTTGCACGACACATGTCCTGTTGTTGACAAGGGTACCTTCAGAGCAATACCAAGGGCATCAAGTGTACAGTTCTGTACTTTTGTACATACTTCTCGTATCCGAGTGAGAACCATGGAAGACCAATTATAAGGACGCGTTTCGAAACTTCATCAACCAGAAGGTCTTCCACTGTGAGTGTGGGGTGGTCCAGCGAGTGAAAGAAAAGGCGTTAAAACATAGGCATCGTTGCACGATGTGCAGCAATTTTGCCCCGTCACCTTTGAAACTCTTTTGGGTATCTTGCGGGCCGCTTCCACTGCCGCAGCAAATTCGCGCTTGTAATCTAGAGAGCGTAGATGCTCCGGCAGTGAATGCGACTTCTAGAAGTGCAGCGCTGTATCACCGTACCAGGTGTTTTTGGGTTACAGAGATACTGTATCATGCTGGGCATGTTGTGGAGATATGCAACTGTAGCACAAGAAGTCTGTCGGATTTGGGAAGATCGCGTTGAGTGGCGCTACGTTTCGCCCTCCGCCGTAACTGGTTGCTGTATCGATAGCTAGCGGAGAGTTTGCATGGTGCCATACCTACTGTACATGCGTGTGTTCCATGTACGTTGAAAGGTTTCCGAACCCGCCTGACTATGGCCAAAAAGCTTCAGGTTTTGCCATTACATTACAACTGGTGGCAGCTTTGTGTTCTGCTTCCCGCCTGGCCTTTGGAAATGGTGAGAAAACAAATCGTGACTGTGGAATCATTGCCCATAAGCAATGATACACATCGGTCGTGCGGTTGTCGATTCGTGCAAGAAATGGCGGAGCTTTTGCGTCGCTCGCGTCGCTGACCACCTCATCCGCCCTGTGGACGCTTGCGGTTGCATGAACACTCCATGAAAGGGGATTACCCTTTCATGGAGGGTAGCTTGAATGCTTCATCTATTGGCGAAATACACTGTAATGTATCATGTGCTCACAACTGAGCTTACACCGTATAAACTCCACGTGTATTTTGTGTACAGAAATGGTAATCTCCACACAGATCTGCAGTGTGTTACTGCCATTTTGTGTTACCCCTGGGTAGGAGCTTGATCCTTGATGAAGATCTGTGCCCGGACAGAGCAGCCAGTGCCTGCGCAGGAGGATTGCTAAGAAGCGCACTTCATTTGTTCACAGACAGGAAGTCAAGTTGATGACTGGAAGTATTTGCCCATAGGCTTGAGTATTGTTCCTTACACTCATCGTCACAAAATTGCTTTCTTCATCGCCACCTGCGCGCATCGATACCTATTTGCGATGCAACTTGCATTTTGCTATCCTCCTGTCCAGGATCGCTTGCATCATCCGAGCCGTCGCTTGCTTTCGACGAGAACAGGAACTTCAGCGACAAGCCCAAGATGCGCTGCGAAACGACGAGACCCTGGGTCTGCTTCCGAGCCCCGTCCGAAATCCAAGCGAGCAAAGCGCCCTCGTTCTAAGCCCACATCTGGTTTCTCGACGCCACCCACGGAAGAAGCCCCCCGACCCTCCACTGAACAATCTCCGGAGGCTGCGACTGAGCCGGCAACTGGACCTGATTTGCAGAAGCGTGATGCAGGAGGTATATCGCTGGAAAATCGCTTGCGTGAGGAAATTGCTCACCCGTTGCGGAAACCAAAGCTGACATTATTCGGCACACTGGCCTTCTCTGCAACGATAGGGGCGCTTTTCGCACTTGCACGGCTAGCACGTGGCGACGATACACCCGCGCAGGTCGCGCAGAACGTCGCTGTGGATACGATCGCCGTGGGACTGTTTGGATACCTCGCATGGAGGGAAGTGCAGTTTGGGCGACGCTCATTGAATTCACTGGCGGGAAGGCCTGAAGCGAGGGACTTGCAGGTTATGGTGCTTGACGAGAAGGCCACACAGGCAGCTCCTGTTGTGGGAGATGGATCGGGGCGCAGGCTTGGGTCGTTATTCAGAGAGAAAGATGTCGTTGTAGTGGCTGGACGGGCGATTGATGTGCGCAAATATTTAAATCGGGTTCATGCGGGCGAAGGCGGAGTAAATCTCTCCGTGGTCATTGCGCTTCCTACCGACGCGCAGCGTCAAGACGATGCATTTGAGGGGGCTGCAGCTGTCGCTTCTGGTGAGGCTGACAACACGAAAGACTGGACTTCGTGGATTGGTGATGCAGTACCCCCGAGAAGGAATGTTGCTCTCTTTAGCATTGAGGCTGGAGACAAGGGTCAAAGCGCCGCAAATACCTATGTTGTGGCCGTGGGTGATCCGATGACCCTTCCGTTACCAGCGGACGCGAAGCGTGAATCCGCTGATGTTTGAACGAGCATGAGCACGAAGGGGTTGCGATTCATTTTGTTTTTGACCGGCTCTGCTCGAGCGCAAGACTATCACCGAACTAATTGATGTTGCCATGAGCTTGACGGCGATACTTGGTTAAGAGTTAGTAGTACTTTACTATTTAGTACCATAATGTTTCCTCACACGCTACACCCTGCGCTCTGCCGTCTTCTGCACTGCCCACCACTCGGAAAGGCAAGACAGAGGCATTGAAATATATGTACATACACGGGTTTCCGCTTTGTCCAGCCATCATCGCATTTGACTCGCTGGAGCCGGGGTTTCCAAATTCTGGCGCTGGGAACAGGATCCTCACGCACTGCGAACATTCTGCGAGGAAGTTGGAGTGTTGCACGTTCCATATTCCAAGACCCTTCTTGTCGGCGCACTTTCAACGTCTCGTTCGAGGACGATATCATTGATATCCGTGTCCTCGTCGTCGTCATCGGAGATGCAAGACTCGTTTTCATTCGTTTCTCTTGGGACGGTGTGTGTGTGCGACCTCAGCTGCTCTGTATCGTCGTCGGAGAAGTGGGGTCTCATATCCAGCTTTTCGGGTTTGCTAGACGCGGACTCTGGCTCCTCGCTCCATATTCTCTTGTCATATTCGTCAGGAGCACTAAACGTGCGGGGTGATTGGGGCTTTACTAGCAAAGCGTCACTTTCGTGCGATCCAGCGAACGATTGTGTGCTGGATGAAGATGAAGAGGATACTAGCGATGGAGATGGCATCCAATTGTAGCCTTGCCCACCCACAGACATCACCTTCTTGATGGCCCTATCTCGAAGGTCTGCAATGAAACGCATAATGCGGTTCCCTACGTGAGCGTTGACGGAAAGGCAGCATGCAAGGGTCAGTACACACAAAAGCAAAGTCAAGACCGCTGCGTGTACCCAGCCTTGTAAGTAGAATATTGCCGCAAGCGAGAACTGACTGACTGTGGTCCACGTTAGAATAAACTTTGAGCTTAAACGAGGCAAGCGGCCATCAATATGACTTCTTGGATGCACATATCGAATGGTGTATATATCAACAAGGTGTTTGCAAACAAAGTACAAAAGCGCAAACCACCAAATAAGTGGTGCCATGAAGCCGAAAAGCAAACAAATTGACATAACCGTCACGCTGTAGGCGTAGTGGCGCGGGTAGTCAAAAATGTCCGTGCATTTCGCCTCAGCAGCCTCAAGTGGTGTCAATGCCATTCTTCGACGAACCATCATCGAAAAGCTCGATGGAAGTCTCATCAGCCAAAAGACTGAGCCCGTGAGTGCCAACTGAACCAAATATGTGCACAAGAAAAACGCAATGTCACCAGAAAACAAGCGCTGTAGGATAGGAAGAGTGTTGTATACATTCGCTCCCCCATTGCTTTGTTTGTATATCATTTCCAAAAACTCCGATGCGGTATTTAGAGCAAGTGAGGGCAGTACCACGGCATTCATCACGTAGTAAAAAGACGTCTTACGGAAAACAGACATCTCCTGGGCTGAGTGTGTTGGGTATCCTTCCAAAGCGCAAGTTAGTCGCAGCACAGAGGGCACCGCTGAAAATATAATCGCCAAAGTTAGCACGGGAAGGTAGTTGAGTAAGGCGGAGCGGAGAAACGTGTTTGACGTGAGAAAATCTGGAAGAAGATCTAAGAAGTCCTCAGATATTGTTTGTGCCGCATTCCCGTCGTCTCCGTTGAGGTTGACAAAAGCGAAGTCAATTGTCCCGTTGAACGGATTTCGATGAGGAAGAGTGAGATTGCCATGAGCGCCATTGCCAAATAGCATGGCCTGGTCACTGAGAAGCGACACTTCCGCGAAGATAAGTTTTAACGCCGTGAGCATAGCGACTGGACTCGTAAATAAAATAAGGACAGCGAACACAATCACCTGCACGATCATTTCACGGACCGTTCTCTCGAAAAAGGAAAGGCCGATGTTATTCCAGATGATATCCCCACTTTTCGGTGCTCTCTCCGCTTTCAGTTTTCTCAGCCGCGAGATAGCCACTTGTATTGAGACCGGCTCGTCTGGTTCGGAGGAGATATGCATCAACCGTTGTTGCGACCTCAGCGTGTGGTGTAAATTCATCGATGAGTTCGACGAAGACATCAAACTCTCGCGCAATCTCGGGGGTAAAAGATTGACCGTGCCCCTGTACAGATTGCGCAAATGGGGCAAGCTCCACGTCGACGAAACGCGGTCATGGCGGCCGATGATGACTTCATCATTCGCCCCCGGCTGTACCGAGACAACGTTGGTTGAGTCCCGATCAAAGCGGACCGGAAAATCTCGCAGCACAGAGGCTGCTGCGGCGGCCGAGCGAAACGACAGAAAGGCGCAGCCCATAAAGTCCCTGACCGGCTCCTGCTTGCGCGTCTCGACCTCTGTGCGAATCTGAACAATGCTGCGTTCCAGATCGCGAATGAGCTCGTCGCGCGTGTGCTTGGGCGTGAAGACGCCAAAGATGCGACCGAGTAGTGTTTGTGGGGCTTGATCAAGCGGATCCTCATCAGAGGTCTCGTAAAGATAGTCCAGCCGATTCCTCGCGGACGATAGGGAGTGCAGAAGACGTGCCTCCGACGTCCTTCCCTTACACACGAGCTCGACGTTCAAGACCTGGCCCGGATAAATGGCCTCCAACAATTGCACGACCTCCTCCGCGTTCTGGACATCATACGGCAGACCGCGGGCAAGCAGGGTCCAGTACGACCTGCTCTTGCGGTGATGCCTACGTGTCGCCGAGGCCTTGCCGCCGCGCGTGGGCGTGGCCGGTCTGCGACTAGAATCCCTATTCGGGGTGGTGTTTGGGGTTTGGGTGGCGGTCGGGGTAGAGGAGCCGTCCTCCAACCATTCGGCGACGGAGCGCTGGTCGCCTGCGGCGGCCTTGACGACGGTGTACAAGACGATAATGCAGAGGGCCGTGACAACAAAGACGGGGAGCTGGAGCATGAAGAGCGGGGAGTCTGCGGGGAGGTTGTGCGACGTGAGGCGCTCAAACAAGCCGCGGTCGGTGCGGAGCATGTTGAGCAACGAGGTGGGGGAAATCTTCCCGTCGGTGTGGAAGACGGCGCCGCCGAACCAGTACGACGGGAGCAGCAGGGCGGTGGCAAAGACGGCGCAGATGGCCGTGGTGAGGATGCAGGCGCGCTGGAAGAGGAGGTAGACCTGGGCGTCTCTGGAGAGGGCGTTGTCGGATGCGGTGAAGAAGTTGAGCCAGCCCGTCCAGCGCATGGGCGGCGGGGCGCGGACGTACGCGTCGGTCGGGGTGTAGCTCTGCGAGGCGCGGACAGACGGGTACTTCTTCAGCAGACGGACCTCCTCCGGCGAGAGCAGGCCGGCCTCGCGCAGGATGACATAGCGGTAGAACAGCACGCCCATCCACGCGACGACGACGTTGACCAGCACTACGAACGACAGGCCTGAGTTCATCGTCGTCTTCTCAGACATGTTCTTGTACGTGTTGCCGGCCGTCGTGACGTTGGTGCGCACAATGTGGTGCGCCGCCCACCGCGCGAGCTGCGGCAGGGCGGCGGACGTCATGGCTGCGGCGGCGGGGGAAGGAGGGCGCCGGGGCGCGGGGGGGGGCGGGGGGGGGGATGGGGGAAAGACTTTGGGCGTAGTGTACAGGTCCGACAGTG